TGATAAACCTTTCGTTAAAGAATCCATGGGAAAACTAATTTTTAATAAAAATCACAATTTTTCCCATCCTGAAATCAGAATTTCTAGATAACTTTCAACATCAAGATAGTTTTGGCCTAAAATTAGTAGGGATGTCGGCTTTTAGGCCAAAACGTGTTTGTCTCTTTTTAATTTAATTTAAATTGGTAACTATAAGTTGATTTTAATCGTAAATCTGTGAAGGATATTTCCCAGTTGATCATTTAAATTAGTTTAAGGATCTATATTATCATAATGTCAAACAGAAATCGGGCATAAATCTTATCTGATAAAGTCCGTTTAAAATCTGAAGTAAGAATTTACATTAATCAACAAACATGCTAATTACCATATTCGCAAATCGAGCGAGGGCGGAAAATAGTTGTTGATTGTTTGTGTCCTTCTTGTGAGTTTTGTCACAAGAAGGAAAGTACAGTGGAAAATATTCTGTTATTATTTGTCGCACTATATACCGGGGATGGCCTAATTGTCTGAGTCATGTTTGCAAAAATTCAAAGTTATTTAAACTTCTTTAACCGACAGTTTTACAATAAATATTGCCACAATAATTCTTAATAGTTAAGGTATAATTTAGTCGCAGAGAGTTTGATCCCAATTTCAGCGAACATTTCGGATACAGCGAGTATAATCGATATGCTACTCAAAATTTCTTAATTAATACTGAATATTAAATTACGTAATTGAATATTTTTTTTTAAAATAACAAAAAATCGTACATAATTACAATAATTTCATAATGTGGTAAACGTAATTTCGTTCTGCTACCGTTTTTTTCCCGAGTTATTTTTTAAAAAGCATCTACTCTCAATTTATACAAACGATCCAAGCAAATTAAATTAAGATCTTCTTAAATTCTTCAATTATGCCATTTTTGTGTCACTTATTACTGTTATAACACTATATTAATTTCATTTTAAATATCCGCCATCATGCGCAATCCGATTCACTTTTTTGTTGTTCTATCATTTTAAATCATCAATCATTTTGTTGCTCATAAATAAAAAACAATTCTTCTCTTTTTTTTTTTAAACATTTCAACATAATCATCATCATTATCATATAAAATAGAAAATCATAGGTCAAAATCTATGTTGTTGAAGACCTATGTGTTTTGTATAACATCTGCATTTTTTATTATATTTAGCCAAAAGGTTTAAAAATTATCAACTCCCACTGATTTCAATAGTTACGCCTGTCATTCATAATCTGTCATAAAAAAAAAAATTCATATACTTAATGATAATATGTTTATATACATTTCAATTACGTAATCACAAGCATAAAAAGAGTAACACCTGAATTGAAATTGTTGGTCACTTCTCCACAATACAATATAATCACCGCTAGGGTTGCCGTTTTGGTAATTTTCTGGCGAAAATTGTAATTTTTTTGTGGGTTTGGTAACTTTGTAACTTCAAATTGAATTTGGTAATTGGTGACCTTTCCTCGAATTCCCAATTTCTTGATATTCACTATTTCAAAACAGAAAAAAATTTATGTGTGCAGATCACATTCTTCTTAATATTGAACTCGCTTATCTCGATTTCGACTAACTGATAAACTTTCCAGGGTAATCACATTCGATTTTTTTTAATTTTATCTGTATAATAGCACCAGCAGCTTATTATTTTAGCAATATTTTTCTTAACTTCGCAGCTTTTTAATGCAAAAATTGTATTTTTTTCTCTCTTGCTGTGGTAACCCTAATCATTGTAACCAACAACAGGAAAAAAAATTAAATTTCAATTAGAATGTAAAAAAAATAATTTAGGAATTTTATGGGAACAATCAAATTAAACTATTTTTAGTATTATAATTAAAAAAAATAGGAAAATGTATCCAATGATTTCATTTAAGAATAATTTATGCAAAAATTAATTCAATTTTAATTTTTGCTGAATTCAGATTTAATTCTGTACAACTAGAAGGTAAACTAAATCATTTGCTCACACTTAATTTAAACTAATGAGTGTTGATTTAATTTTCTCGTAATTTAATTTCTTCGGAATAATTTTGGCAACACTGTTAGAACTTTCAATTAGAACGAATGTAGTAATAGGGAAGCTACAAACTCAAATTTGAAAAATATTTCCAATTCATATCGAGAATTATACCTAATTTTAATTTCCTTTTTCAAGACAGTAATCGAGGCAGTGGTTCGGTTATTTGCCCTAAAGTTTCAAAAGCTATTTAACATTATCTCAGATGTTATTGAAGCTAAATAATATTAAAATTTCGTTTGAGCAAATATATTTTTGAGGCTGTTATATGTGATGAAAACCGTTGAAATTTCTTGATTTCTTGTGCCTGCCACACAACTTCTATCAATAGCTATTTGATCATATCTTAGAAATTACTTAAAGAACAGTATTGCAATTTTGTATAGACAAAATAATAGTAACATGGCCATAATTTTCGGTAAAAACTGTTGAGATATCATGAGTGCTTATGATAGCTATCATACAATTTTTAAAGTCATTTAGCCGTATATTATAGAAATTGTACTGAAATAACAGTGCTGAAATTTTGCTTAAACGAATATGGTAATACTAGAAATTATTTTCAGTAAAAATCTTTGTAATGGTATGAATTTATGTGCAGTGACTGCCGTATAGGTATATAAAATAGGACGCTACATATAAAGAAAAACTAGGTCGTATGAAACAGTACTGGTAACATATGTACCATATGTACTGGTATCAAAAAGTTAACACGGTCAACTCAACCGTTTCTCGTTTTAATTGAAATCAATTTTTGTATTCTAAACCAAATTTTAAGTACTGAAATTGAGTACAAAAATTTTCCAAAAATTATTTTTAAAAAATGATTCAAAAATTCTTTTTAGCAAAATTCATTGTTATTAAATTCATGCGTGAAGGGGCACTGCAGTTGGTGGCATAGATCGTGTTAAAAATCTACATTATGTGTACCTATGGGTGTACCTATTTAAAATTTACAAATTATACGTGTTCAATTTTATTAAATATGTTACGCTTCTCTAGTTAAATTAGAAATTGTAATAAAATTTTACATTTATTTTACATATTGCGCCTCGTTATTATTAATAGAAAAATAATAAAGGTCATATTTTGTATTCAAAAAAAGTAAAGAGCGTTTTGTTAATTGATAACTAACATTAAAATGGATGTTATATAGGAAATTATGAAATTTTGTTTTTGAAAATTATTAATTGAATTTCAATTTATTTTGAATGGATGAAAAAGCAACATTTCCAACAAGATTGACTAATTTAGAAAATATTGAGAAATTCGTAATATAAGTACGTAGTCGGCGAGTTACAAATTTACTCGATTATGGAACGACTCGTCATTTTTTAATATTAAAACCAAAAGAACGCGTCTTATTAATAGGTTGTAGAGAAGTGTATTAAGATATTTTTAAAATTTTTTGTAATTACAAAGGTGAAAGCGTCATTAAATCAACACTTTACATAAAATACTTGTAGTATTTTATTAGTATTGGAAATACTTGTAGCGATGCACTGCATTAACCACTTACATAAATGTTTATTTTGCAAAATTCTTCGGTTCTATTGCACCAACCAACAACACTTTGTCATTTTTTTAATCAATTAATCAAAAAATTTGCAAAGTTAAAAAGTAAAAGCAAAAGTGATTTGTTCAATTGACTACCGTTGAATATCTACGGTTTAATCTAAATCTAGTCTAAATTGATTATACAATGCCTGTCAAAATAATTACATATAAAGGTCAACAAAGTTATTCTAACAATGCCGAAAATTAAAAGATTATAAAGCATCAACAAATTTTAAAATTATATTAATTTTATTAAGTAAAAAACATTGCATATATTTAGGATACATTGTATAAAAAACTAATTTTAGTACAAATATAAGAGCCATCTATTAGGCAAAAACTTATTAATAATATTAGAATATATTAGTTTAAATTTTAACCACCGCAAAATTATACAAAATGAAAAAATTTCAATTTCAATAAAATTGTTTGAGAATTCACTGAAGGCACTCAAGAGAACATTCAAAATATTTATTTGCCAGCATCACGCTTAAAGCAATAAATTAAAATACCATGCTTTTGTAAAAACGCCTCAAAAAGAGGTAATTTTAAAAAAATTCGGTTGCAACTTATATTTTAATATAAAACATGTTCGATAAATCAAAATTAAAGTACCTAAAAAATTAAGCCAGAGTAATCCTGTAGATCCTTTAGATCTGTAATGATACAATAAAAATTTAGCCTTAAGTTAGAGCTGCAAGCTCATATCTGAAGTATCGAAAATCTCCAAGCAAAATATTTTTAGGTTTCAGGTTCTATAGGCCATACAATTGCATTTAATTTCAACTCTAAGAATTCATATTTTTTGAATTATACTAAATCTCTTTGAAATATATGTAGATTTTAAAATTTTTTGAAGATTGGAATACTTGACTAAGAAAAAAACCAAAGTACTATCCGAGATTCTCGGATAAGAAGATTATCCAAGAAAATTTGTTTAAACTGAACAGAAATAAAACTTATTTTGTTTTTGGTTTTTCAACTGAAGAAATTTCTTTAAAATTAATTTAAAGAACAATCTACTATTTAAACTTAATCTGCTGCTATTACAATTTAAATAAAGTGTTTTTTATTATAATTACTAATTTTATATAAAAAATAATGTATCAGTGTTAAATCACAGAGCTAAAGCTAAATAAATAGTAAAAGCAATTAAGGACCAAATTTAGAAACATACAAAAATTGTATAAGAGAACGTTCCTTATTTCAAGTATTTTTAAATTTAAGTAAATTTAAAATAATTTCTACTTAACTTCTATACTACTCACAGGTTAATAATAGTATCTAGTTAAAAAAAACACAATTAATATTAATTTTAATTTTTATTCTTAAAAAATTTTTATTTCTGGAAAAAAAAATTTAAAATTTTGATTTTAAAAATTGATGAAAAACCAACTAAATTGTTTTGCAACTTATTTTCTTTCTTTTTTTTAAACAATAAAATTGTGCATAAATCTGTACATACATGTAAATTATTAGATAAAAATTAAATATATATTCATAATTGTATATATTAAGTAAAACATAAGTAATTAAAATAATCAATTAATTCACGTTGAATTTAAATAAATTTAAAAATTTTTAATTTACAACAGGTTGTATATAAAATTTCATCTCTATTAAATATATTTCTAACAATTTCCAAAGGTTTTTGAAGCTTTCGGATGCTTATTAAATGATATTTCTTCATGAAGGCCAAAAATTGAATTTTATTATAAGATTAAAACGGGTTTCTAATACTCTGCAATGAAATTGATGGAAAAAGAATCATTGGGCTGCGGTCTAAAAATAAAAAGAACAAAAATAAGTTATCGGTTGTCAAAAATAAAATCAAAAATTAAATGCAGCTCTTTAATTTAACATTTAACTTACAACTAGTAAATGACCGCTTTTAGCTTTTGTAATACTAGGAGCTGAACCAGTTTGAATGTCAATTGTACCAGCTTTTCCTTTGACTAGGTTATGTTGTAATCTAAAATCAATACGAGAATTAATTATTGAAATTTAATTAAATGCTAAATAAAAGTAAAATTTCTAATTGAAATTATTTTAAAAATTTCTAATACTTACGATGTTGTATCTACTATATTTAATATTTTGGAATTTTTAATGGTGTCCAAAACATAAATGCAAAATTCAATTACATTAGGAATCTCTAAAATTAAATCACCCTTATCTTTTTTTAATTCAGCTGGAATCCGAACTAATAATAAATTATCAGTATGATTTGTAACATTAAAATCAATTTTATCCAATGGAAGTCGATGTTTCTGTTTATATGTCTTTCCATCTAGAACATATAAGGCCTTTTCAGTTAATAGTGCAATACGTTCTCTTGGTTTATAACCATGTCGATCAAATTTTACACAAGTTGTAGCATATTTTAAACTTTCTGGTCCAAAATTTGCTTGTGCAAAATTTTGTACTTGTGTAGTACTTTCTTTAGGTATACGATCATCAATAAACCAAGGTCCAATAGTAAGGGGATAACTTTTCTTTTTTCCTAAAATAAGAGAAGACTTTTTTTTATATCATTATCAAAATAATAATTGTAAATATTTCGAACCTTTGAAAGTATCTTCAGACAAAACTTTCAATTCAAGCTGTTTTTTCTTTGGTTTACTCAATGCCAATCTATAAACACGTGACAAATGTAAACGATGCATTCTGTGTAAGTGTTTGGAAGCTTCTTGACAATGTGTTGGTGCTACTGGCCAGCTACGATCAAGTACTGTTTTCGGTAAACTACGTGAAAGACGCATTAACCACATACGTTTTGAATTAGCTATAAAAGCATCATTTAACCCATTTGGAGGATCATTTCTTGTTGTGAAACCTTTAATGAAATCACGTATTTTTCTTACTGCAACACGTCTACGTTTGAGTTCTTGAATGGCTAAATAACGACGGCAATATGTCTGAACAGCAATTACATTGGCACGGAATTTTTGATACCAAATTCTTTGTTGACGTCCCTTCCAGCGTGACTGAATTATAGTAGCCAAATCGTGTTTCTTAGCTTGGAATGCATCTTCAGTATCAAATAAAGTTTTAGGAAACCGAATGAAAATTTTTGTTTTTCCCATACGATAATCGTCACTGTTATATTTCAAAGCATGTGCCAATATTTGGACTCCATCTTTTGATGAGCCCATATAATGGGGCCATGTTTCTTTACTAAGGCATTTGTAACGTTGCAAAAACATATCGTAAGTCCTACAATACAAAAAAATGAATTACAATAGAAAATTAAAAGTATGATTGCTAGATCAAAGTATTTACCTTCGGTAAGCGAAACCAGCTCTTCGTACCCTTAAATTTTCCATTAAACCCAAATATTTAACTTGATGCAAAACTAAATCATCTTTAAACACGCCAGGTGTTTGTAAATCATTAGGCTTAATACAACGAATATATGATGGCTCTTTGCACATCAATATTTCCATTAAATTATTCAAAGAATTTCTAAATTGTGTAACAGCAGTTTCTGGTCTCTTTTTGCTATTCAATTCCTTGCTACCAAAACAATCATTTATAATCTTATGCTTGGAATTTATCATTGTTTCTTTCAAATCTCTAAATAGCAAATCATTATTTTTATCCAAAAATCCAGCACTATTATAAGTAACATCGCCAGCATAATGAACTAAACGAAAATCTTCTCTACTCATCGTTTTTTGAATAGCTGTACTGGCTTTCTGGTGTGATATAAAATGAGGATGATCACCCAAACAATCATTTAATTTTGAAAGGAAAGTTTTATCTGTTGGATCACCTGGCCTTAAACACTCTTCATCCAAAATCGATATTATACCTTTGTGTTTCTCTTCAATCAAATTACAAATAACTTTATTATCAAAATATTCTACTGGAATCCATTCAATTCCTTCTCTTTCATATTCTTCTTGTTCGGATCTTAATGTTAATTCAATAAAAAGTTGTTGAAGTTTTTCATTACAAAAATTGATACAGAATTGTTCAAAGCTATTACGTTGAAAAATTTCAAATCCATAAATATCTAAAATACCCATAACATTTGAAAATTTTCCTTTTGGATCATGAGATTTAAGTGATTTATTGATGCGTTCGACAAGCCATGAAAATAGACGATCATAAACAGCTTTAGCTAAAGCATCACGAGCATAAATTGCCATTTCTTGATTTAAAGGTGAAGTTACAACATCTCCACGTGCATCAATTGTTCTATGTGTAAGAGCAGCTGATAATTCTTCTTTACTGCAATTTAACAACTAAAAATAGAGAAATAAATGAAGAAATTAAACTCTGATTTCATATTCTTTAAATTACACTTAATTTAATACTAACCTCAGCAGTAGTTGCAACACAGTCTGGTGTTGTTACTTTGGCTTTACCTTCAACATTAGTAAATTGTACATTACCAAGATGTAAAACACTAGCAACAATACTAAATATATCTTTTTGTTCTTCCTCTTCAAAATCAATAATATCCATTGCTTTTTTAATCATTTTAAAATTTCCATTATCATTAATACTTGGCACATTTCCTTTTGCCTTATTTATTTAAAAATTTAAGAAAAAAAATTTCCATATTAATTTCGTATGTAACAAAACTATTTCAAATTTTCAAATCAACTTACTCCATCAGTTAAATAATTATATTTCTCAAATTTTCTTTCCAATTTCAATTCTCTAATCAAATCATCATTTGCACCAGCAAGCAATTGATAGAAAATATGAAAGTTTCTTTCACCAGACGTTTGATTAACAACTCTAGATTTTTCCAATAAATAATTTAAAATATCACCACCCAATGGAGCACCAGTAAAATCAAATGTTACATCCATATATTTACCAAATCTTGAACTATTATCATTACGATTTGTTTTAGCATTACCAAATGCTTCTAATACCGGATTACTTTGAACAAGTTTATCTTTAACAACTTCTAAAGTAGCTTGATGATTTGAAGCTGCTGCTATATATTGAAGAACTTTTTTAGATGCTTCAGTTTTACCAGAACCACTTTCACCTACAATGAAAACAAATATATTAGTATAATTTCGAATAAATAGTAAGAGCTCATATAAATGTTATTCAAGAAAATGTCAATTTTATATGACAATGAAGATTGTAAAGTAATTTTTAATGATCCGAAATTTAGAAATTAAAAATTTTCAAAAATTATTTTATATTTTAATATTTTTATAACTTTTTAAAGAAGGATTAATTGAAAATCATGAGTCAATCATGAATTAATTTTATAATAATTTCTAGAAAATTTAGAATATTTAGAGTTTAAACTTAGTATAGATTTACAGACAATTTAGCTTGGAGCTCTATCTGATACAACTAAAATTTAATTCTTAATTGCTTATTTAAATTCCGGAATGGGCCAAGCTTCTATACTTTTATTTTTAATCAACGGTACCGAGCTTTATGTACAGAAACTTTTGTTCCTTATTATTCGTACACGAAAATCTGCAAAACATTAAAGTGTAATCACCTGAAATTAATATACATTGGCCTCTATTCTCTTCCATTAATGATCTATAAGCATTTTCGCTGATTGCAAATCTAAAACAAATTCAAAACATAAATTACATATACAATTAAATTAATATATTTTAAATGTACTTACATGTGTGGTGGCACCTCAAAAAAATGTTTTCTAGCATATTCTTTAATATGCTGTTCTGTATAAATTGGAAGTTCTTTATATGGATTAACTGATATCAATACTTGACCAATATAAGTCTAAAAAATTTCGAATTTAATTAATTAATTTATTGATCCAATGTTATCTAAAATATTATTTAGACACTTACATAAATTAAATTCTCATTAAATCTCTTTTTAAGATTATCAATGAAAGCATCTTCACTTTGATAATTTTCAAGTAGAACAAAATCTTGAACACCCACTCGATCACGATCGTGTAGTCCCCGTTCCATACTTAATTGTGATGGAATCCAGCTATAACAAAAAAAGAAATTAATAAAATTTTTAAAAATTGCATAATTGAAATAAGATTTTTAATAATTGGAAAATTTTTCGTATAAGCTAGAAATTGCTATTTCAGTTAAAAAAGATGAAAAATTACGAAAGAAAATTGGAAAAAATTTTGTTTTCCATCGTACTTTTCTTTAAATTTTCATTTCCTTAATAAAAAATTACAAAATGAAAATTGAATTGAAAAAAAATTTCATATTCACGCTTGTAGATTAAATTCATTTTATCTATGGTCAATTCTATAAACACACGTAAAAGGTGATACTAGTAAGTAAATTATAAAAAAATATTGAGGAATGTTGAATTTCTATACAACATGGTAGTATTTACATGCGTTACTCTCAATTTTAAATTCTTTTGAATGAATTATGGTAGGATTTGCAATATTAAATCGAAGATTATTTAAAGTTTATGTCCAATTTTGATTGAGTAATCGCGTAGACGATAGACGAACTAAAATAGATTGTCTATAATCTATTATACGATAATATCGAATTGGGATCACATTCAAAATGCAATTATTGAGTTGTATAAGTAAAAAAAAAAATTATTCACAATATTTTTGCAGATATTAAAATGAAAATGCTAAAATAAGATAATCGAATTTACAGAGCCACAATCAGTGTTCCCAATCTATTGAAATTCGTGAAATTTATACGCAACAATTTATACAATAGCGAATTTCAACTCTGAAAGAATTTTAAGAAATCTCTGCTATTAACAATTTGCTGATTTCTTTCTTAACTAATGGTACGTAGCTTATGGCGTATTAGCAATCAAAATTAGCTAATTTTTTTAGAACGAAAAGAAGCCAATCAACCGAAAAACGCATTCAAATTTTGACTAAATCGCACTTAAATGAAAAAAAATTTTAATCTTTTAAGTAAAGTTATATAAATTACTGGTTTATTGTTTCTCAAGCAACCTGAGTATTTTTGTATAAATATTATAAGTATATAAAATTAAAAGCGTATTATGCTAACAGTTTGTCTGAACAGCCTTAAGTTTTGTTATCCAGGCCTAAGACTAATTGTTAATCCAGCACTGTTTTCATGGGTGCACGCGTTGATAGCGATTATACGGGAATAACAGAAATCCAAATGTTTTCATAGATAATCGAACAGAGGAAATTTTTCAATAATCTATTTCTATGATTGATTTTATTTCTTCCATTTATAAGAGATGGATATCCGTCATAACCATATAGACTTTAATATTTACAAGCTGAACTGATTTTCATTAAGCGATTATTTTTGAATTTCAAAATTTATTTGATAATTTTGTAATAATTTCAATTTTTAACATTATCAACAATCCTAATGTGATGTTCATGTTCATTATTGACTAACATACAAGTAATATTACGCATTATGAAGAAATTCAAGCTTCCGTCTATAAGTATACAAAAATTCCAATTTTCTCTTTTTGGTTTTCTTTTTTAGTGTTAGCTTATCACATGAAGTCTTGAATAATAAGTCATAGCTAAAAATAGAAATTTAAAATATTTTCGCGCAAATCAAGCTTTTTTTTTTTGAAGGAAAATAACGTCAGTTAATTTCAATCCTGCTTTAACAACAAAATTTGTTAAGGTTGTGAGTTTTTAAATTTTGTATGTTTTAACTAAAAATTTTAAAATCTTAAAAGGAAAGTCTCATTTTTTGAAAAATATCCATTCTATTTTGTCGATAGAAATGAATTTGTTCATAAATTTATCGATTTGCAAAGAGTTGAAGTTATAACAGGGAATCAGGATTTCCAGATCTGACGTAATTAACTAAAACTGGAAAAATTCGTATTCCACAGGCATATTATATTTAAACGCACACACATGTATGATCACATGCAATTAAGTAATCAAACGGTTTATAATTTCTTTAAGCCGATTGCAATTTTTAGTTAACACAATCGATTTGAATTGACGCAATAGTTTAGTTTCTTAAATGTGCATGTAACGATTTTATTATCAAGCTGTAATTGAAAACTAAAAACTGTATGTACCTGTTTAAACCGTATATAACTTACTTTTTAAGGTTATGTTTGTTAATTATTCATGCACAAAAATCGGGTAATTAATATATCCTTTTTATATAAATTTGCATTTTTCATTTGACAACCCAAATGGTATGTTAACATTCACGTGATCTGTGTTTGGCTGTATGTAGTTTCATGTTTAAAATATATGGTTAACAAAAATCTACGGTTAATTATTGTAGAACATTTTCCTTGCTGTAACTTCAAAAAATTAAAATTCATCAAACTTTATTGAGAGAATTTCACAATTTTAAGACCAAATAGACAGAAGTTAGCAAGAGTTTCTGAAGCATTTTGAATATAACAGTTGCTTACGAACAGAAGTACAATATTAAGCTATATACATATATACATATATTAGTTTTCAATCTAATCGTTTCAAATTGATATTGGATACTAAACTAAGTTCGTGTATACCCTGCATTATTTGTGTTTTTGACTTATTCTCTCCAACTGACTTCAATTAAGTATTAATTTTTCTTTGAAATTTTTGGCAATTGATAAAACTTTAAAATGACTTTGAAAATTAAAAAAAATTTTTTTTTTAATCTTTTTATTAAAAGCCTTTTTTTCATTTTCATTTTAGCATTCCAACTACTTAGTAATAAATAAGTTGGGTTTTTTTATCAAAATTAAGTTATCGTAAAATTGAACTTGTTTTTTATTTTTCTAAATGAGTTCAAGTACAAATAAAGAGAAATACGATATACAGGGTGAGCCTGTAACGTGCTATAATTTCTCGGGAGCGAAGAGATAGAAAAATTTTATAAAAAAATGCGTTCCTGGAAGGGAGGGAAGGGAGGGTCTTAGGGGGTAAATAAAATTTTCCCATCTTTCTGTTCCCGAAAATTTATACCACTTTACAGATTGACCCTGTACAGAACGAATAAAGAATAAAAATTAAGCAATATTTAAGGAACATTCTTGTATACATTAAGGATTAGATGCCGGGACAATGTTTTCCATATTAAATGTCTGAATTTAAGGGTTGGTAATGAAAAAATTTTCATAATGTTTTCATTAGAAGAATTTAAAACATTTGTATTATAGATTACCATTAACTAAAGAACTATATTTTCCAATTTTTTGACAAAATGAGCTTAAGAAAAATCGCAATTTTCTTTGTGATTATCAAATATGTAGGCGTTTGATTCTAAATTTTGCCTCATTTCAGATTTAATTTCAATCATGTTCCAATTTATTTATAACCAGCTGATTATTGCATAACATTTATAACTTCATATAAATATATCGAAATTAGTAATTATAATTTATTTAGAAAAATTCTTGTGATTGCTAGTCACATTCTTCAAATATAAACAAACATTCCTAAACACTTTTACTGTTTTTATTTCTTCTTTAAATTTAAGGTTAAAATTGATTTTTCTATTGATTTTTTTTTATAAAAGTTTGTATGTAATCTATATTTTATTATCATCGCTAACTTTATCGCGTGTTTAAAATATTTACTTTTTGATAACTTATCAAAAGTAAAATCGTTTCATTATCAATACATCATATGAGTAGTAATAAATGAGAACCAAATTATGATTAGTGTTTGTATGTGTGTGACTGATTTACGTAAAACTATTATTACTAGTTTACTCATATTATACTAGTAAATATAATTGAGTAAAACAATGGCATAACATTATTGTGTTGATGTCTTTATTCGCACACTAATTTATTCATTTCCCATCCGAGTCCATCTTAATACAAAAAAAGGTCAATATTTAAGAGATTTTAAGTATATAGCAAAAATTTGAAGATACAGTTGTCAGCTTACGATATAAATTTGGGCCAGTTGCAATAGATTAAAAATTTTTTGAAAATTTATTACAAGTGCAATATTTCAAACGCAAAAACCTTGCAAGTGGAAAAAATTTTTACAGTTCAAGATTTTGTCAATTTGTGTACGAGCCTAAATACTAAAATCCATTCGATTTGTTTTGAACTTTCAAACACATAGTCTTACATTGAATTTCTTATATTAATTGTAAGACAACAAGGCTCTATCGCAATTTAAAAATAATTGGAATCTCATCAAAAACTATTAATATATTTCATAAAAAATTAGTTTTAGATTTTTTCCTGTACTTGCGTGTAAATTCCATATTTTTTTATACCCTTATAAACGTACGAAAACATTAACGTACGTAACGCAAGTAAAGTAAGGGTATCATAAATTTGTCATTCGTGTTCAATTTGACACACATGCAATCACAAGTGTTTAAATATGTTTTTGATTAGCATAGATAACGGAGTCGATTTAGTCGTATCTGCCCGTCCGTGTTATACAATCTCCAAAATAATTTGACCCTTTCTTAGAAATTGTTAAAACAAAAGCATACATAAACAGATACGGTAATGTGGCAATTATTTTTGATAAAAGTGAATAAGATTTTATAATGTCTACGGCATCTTACGGCAACCACTATTTTTAATGGTTACCGTAAGATGCCTGTACTCATTTAATAACCTCTTTACTTGAAGGACTTTTAATAAAGCAACTTTTTAACAGATTTAAGAAATTTAAAAATTCAAGAGCACATAAAAGTGAATTTGATGCAATGCAATTAATTTTCTTTTGAAAAATTTACATACTTATCTTCATACCTTGTTAGTTTTGCATGCATACGGAAGTTGTAAACGTAACTACGTGTAATAAAAGTTAAAATTATTATTATTTTTTATGTTCACAAATCATAACTTGCTTTCTATTGTGTCATTAAAAAACAAATTAATTCTATATCGTTATTTTTATTACATTTTTGTTATTTTTGTAAAGAAAAAAAATCCACATAACAAAATTTTCCATTTTTTTGATTAAATTATTGTTTTTTATGAGTTTTAGGTAGCTACATAAATACATACATACATAAAAAATCTGATGTGGTCAGTGTAAAACCAAACGCAATGTGTATTGCCTGGTT